GGGCTGGCTCCCTAACGTGGAGGCGCCGCCTCGACCTGCAGCCCCGGGAGGCGCTGGGGAGTGGTCATTTCGAAATGGAGGCAGGGGAGCGCCTGCACGCCCGCGGCTTTCAGCCACCACTTCGGAGGGAGCGCCGTTCCTCGCGGGAGCTGCTTCGGGGGAGCGGGCTGGGGAGTGCGGACGCGCCGCTGGAAGTAACTCCCTAGCGCAGGCCCTGGGAACAGTGCAGAGCAAGCAGCCCTGGGCGCTCTGGGGAGCGGGGCCGGCGCTCCGGAGGGGAGCCTGGGCGACGGAGCACGAGCCCCCAGGCCCAGACAGAACACCAGTGGTCTCTATTCCCAGCCCCGGGCTGGCCCCGCAGTGGCACCTCCTCCTGGCTGCCCACAGCCCAGCACGCAGGCAGCTCTCCCCGGGAGGCGAAGGGGCTGTCCGCCAGCCCTTACCAGGCGGAGGTTCTCTTTGCTGGCTTGCTTGGATCCAGGTGAGTCCCCGCTGCTCTGCCTGTCCAGGGCCATCGGGTTCCCCAGCACCCTGCGCTGAGGGAGCAAGAGCAGAGGCGCTGCTAAGTGCCGCGGGATACTCCCCAGGGAGGGGCAGGGGAAGTCACAGCCTCGCGTGGCCAGCAGCCCCACCACAACCAGGGCCTCCTTGGAATCTGACCCCACAGGGCACAGCCCCGCCCTGCGACGGCCAGTGTGGGTGAATTGGGCAGGTCCGTGTGCGGAATGAATTTTGTGATGCGCACCGACGGGAAGATGTGTGACGGAGGCAACCTGCAACACCTCACCTCCACGTAGGTGCGCATCACAAAATTCATTGTGCGGCGGCGCCGAGGGGTTCAGCGTGTGAGGCGCTCGGAGTTGGGGGGGATGAGGGCTCTGGCTGGGGGTGGCCGGGGCATTCCGAGTACCATCTCCTGTGGGGGAAAGGGCTCCTCCCAGTGCTCTCGCGGCAGTAGCTCCGGGCCAGGCAAGAGGCACCTCTCTGCGGGCCATGGCAGCTCTGGTGAGGCTGGGTTGGCCTGGGGGAGGGGCCCCTCTCTCCCAGCTACAACAGGCCTGTGCTACAGGGATGGGGGTGGGGGGATCTTTGAAAAGGAACCTCTCCCCACCCTGGCAGCTCCCTGCTGGGGCCAGAGGTGCATGCCTCTCCCCCGGCCGCGGCAGTCCCGAGACCCTGCGCAGGGGCTGTTAGGCAGCTGTGCGGCCACGCTGCTTAGAGGGAGCCCTGGCGCTGGCGGGGCCTGGGGTAAAGCAGCTCACTCTAGGTTTGCTTATCAGAATCAGAACGAGGGGTCACCAAATGAAATGAACAGGCGGCAGGTTTAAAACAAGCAAAAGGAAGGTTTTCTTCACGCAGCGCAGTCAACCTGTGGAACTCCTCGCCAGAGGAGGTGGTGAAGAACAGGGCTTTAACAGGGTTCAGCAAAGAACTAGACAGATTCCTGGAGGTTCGGTCCCTCAGTGGCTGCTGGCCAGGCTGGGCAGGGCTGGTGTCCCTAGTCTCTGTGTCAGGGGCTGGGAATGGGCGACCGGGAGGGATCACGTGATGGTTCCCTGTTGTGTTCACTCCCCGAGGCACCTGGCGCTGGCCGCTGTCGGCAGACAGGACCCTGGGCTCTGACCCCGCCTGGCTGTGCTGATGCTCTCAGGAGCACTCTTCCCCCAAACAGAGGGAACCAATTTACAAGCAACCCTTCCCCTGGGCCCTGGGGGCGGGGTGTGGTCGCGTGGTAGGCGGGGTCAGTCCCTCCCTAGCCAGGTATTCAGTTCTCGCCCGGGGAGGGGTTTGTGAAGGCCTCCAACAGCCCTTGACTGGGCGGGGTGCCCCAGACGGACCTGGCTTCCCCGCCTGTAGGAAAACGGGGTGCCCCAGACGGACCTGGCTTCCCCGCCTGTAGGAAAAAGGGGGGCCCCAAAC